GTTCTAAATGCATCATACAACTCAATGTGATAGTGAATCTGTCAGAATAAATAGAATTTCATCAATTCTACGGAAAATGTGATTCTACGGAATTACTGAACAATCATTATGATACGTCAACATTCTCATTTGATGTTCATACACAATTATGTTTGTGCAAACACACATAACGTCTACTCAACACACATATAAATGACACATGCACTGTATAGGTTTTGATCATTTCATGAGCTTTGTATGTCAATGCTAAAATATGTAATAATTTTGCTTTACTCAACACATATTACGTGATTTGTGTTCAATGTTTTAGCGTTGTAGACACACAATAAGAATTGCAAAATTATTTTGTGTAACACTATAAAAATCCTAACAATAATGTCATTTCAACCTATGTCAACTACATATATAGTTCCATGCTAAAATTTGAAAGCACTATATACGAGATGTGTCGATTATTCCATTGTTAGTCTATAATAGTCTCAATACTTTAAATTTACCCCTGACCACTTGCCGAATTTCATGTCCTCTAAACTCAATTGAAATTGCTTCAGTTTTACGCACAATGGGGGGGGGGCAGTATTATTTTCACAAGTTCTAAGTTCAAACAAATACAATAAGAAATCCTTTTTGAACATTCTTTACTGTCAGTGCATTACCCTCAATCACTGCTCATGCCCAGTTATCGTCTGGTAACAGGGCTGCATGTGATACTGATCGACGACGTTTCGATAATATTAGCGCAGGGTTATATAATCTTAAATAGCGGGACTACGTGTAACTGCAACGGCTTAAGATAGAAGCCTAGTCATAATATTTGACAAAATTGGTCATAAATCGCATGACAATGTTCATTAGTTTATTATGTACAATCATGAAGCTAATGTCCCATGGTATAATGAAATAGCATTATTTTTCGTGTTACAGTTATGCTTTTTGAGAAACGTATCCCAATATTCCTTAAACATTTATATTTTTAGAACATAGAACATAATGTTAAAGAAAAATTGTATTTTTTGACACTTTTTAAAACCCAGATTTTTTTAATAAACAACAAAAGGTACTCCATCATTAACAATATATGATTTTTTCAGCCTTTGTCACCAGGCTAGATTTTGAGATATTGCGTAATATCTCTGCCATAGAAACCTGTGGTAAAAGTGTTATAATAGTGTCAAAATGGCGACTTTCCACTAAAATACAACCATCCATTTCTCGAAAAAAAGGCTGGTGACCTCCAACTTTTTTTAGGTCAATATCCTTATATTGCCTTGGAGTACAATTTATTGCAAAAGGCTTCTACCTTAAATTAAGTGATATTCAACCATTCATGGTAACTCCGTAAGTGGTCTTGTACCATTTGAAAATATACTCATTGACTTTATATTCCACACAATAAAATTAGATAACCCAACTGTACCTTGCACTATGTAGTACAGTCCCATCAGGGTATATTCTCAACAACACGTTCTCCGTTGTCAGTTTATGAAACTGTCCAGACTTCTCATCTGGGAAATAAAGAGGTGGTATCCACACTTCATTAACTCCATCTGAGTGTAACGTCAGAGTTTCGTTTCTATCATCAGTGTACTCTAGTCGGGGATCAACCCATCGTGTTCGAAGAAATAACGTAACTGTATAATCCTAATATAGAGCAGGACATACAGTTAAATTTCATTATATTTTGCTTATTATTTGCTAATACATAAACAGGCTGAATAGTAGAAATTTCATTGAAAGACATCGACAAAAAATGAGTCTCCCTCATCGCGCGAGAATTGACTGCTCGCGCGAATTACGAGATGAGCATAAATTTTACGGCAAACATGCACTTCGAAAAACATGGGAATGGCGATATTTCGTTCATTTTGTTTACCCAATCAAGAACGTAAGCAAAAATGTTTTCTCACTTATTCCATCTGCTCTATAAGGTCCAAATGTAAGAGTATCAGTTTCCATTGGCAACAAGATATCAGTAGATTAATAATTAACGAAATAATATTCTTAATAAATAATACAAACAAAATGGCTGTTATAGTATTATTATCACAAATCAAATGTTACATAAATAAAACCAGGTCAATCTAACAAGCCAATTTAAGCACAATATTGTGTCCAATACAACCGTTACCCACGATCCAACGCCATATGGAGGTCTCCCATTGAAAAGCTATAACGATAAGTGTCCGAACTTTTCACATCAGTTAGTATAGAAGTAAATATCAATATTAACACGTTTATGGTCTAGAAGTGGGTTGGATCTTTTCAAATGAAAATAAAGCCTGAAAACTGTTGTTCGGGAGCAGTCTCTGGTCGTCTTTTGCGTCCCAACCGATAGTGACTTATGACCTGTTATATATATATATGACATCATAGTTGTCATTTTCTGTACTCTGAAATAAGACTGTTGGTCCAGAAGTGGGTATGCAATTACTTAAAACAAAGGTATGGTAGTGGGTGGGGTCAAGAATAACTGGACCACACCACCCCTACCCCTTTTTTCAAGAAAGTCCCACTCCCGCGGGTAGGCTCGATTGTCAGTCTATGTCCCTCGCGTATATAGTTGCCGTTTGTTCCTGTCCTAAACGGTATTTACTTTCTTGTACACATGGGCACCAACATACGAGTGCTGGTGGAGACCTTTGTTATATACATGGTCATAGCGAATCGCGGAAATTCTTCAATCCAATTGCTGACATGTAGTCGCATGCATAGTATGTGTTCTGATTTATCATCTAGCGTACATTGTTATGTGTCCTTAAAATAGATAAATTCATGGTAAGAAGTATCGTACAACATTAAAATATATCTACTTTCGTTTCTATTGCATTCCCACTTCGCAAACTTGTGAGATACCACCCCTGATCAAATGCTGAGATTGTGAATAGGAAACAATAGGAAATTAACTGTAGAATATGAATAAAACAGGCATTCCAAAAATAGCTGCATGTATATACAATAGACACTGAGTTTGAAGGTTTTATTTATCCTAAAAAGCCAGTTACTTTGTTTAAAGACCCTCCTGATCAGTATTCTGAAACTAAAATTAATATTTGAATATGTCATATTTGTTTTTAATTGAAACATTTTATACATTTTATGTTCCGAGTGCGATATTTTATTTGCAAACTGGAGATGCGACGTTAGGCTTTACACTTTAACGAGCACATATTTGTGTGGAAGCCTATACCGCGATAGTCGTTATTAACAATTTTATGAGGGAAATAGTTTAGTATTTGCTCTCACGCATGCGTATGTACATTTCGTCTGATTATTAATACTTTCAGTCAAGCGCTACAATTAGTTTACACGTGTTTTTATATACCGCATGGGAACCTTTTTCGAACATGACTTAGCACGGTGCCCGTAACGCTAAAATACGAAACAAAAATACTGTCAGTTAAAAATAATACTGTCTGTGCCAATTATACCATCATAAATTCTGCGGTTTATACTGTTCTGTTTGTTAGGGTTCAGTCGAGCGATTTACACTGAGTAGAACATAAATAATGCAATACATATGTGGCCAAAGGGCCGCACAATAGATCCGAGACAGCATTATTCAATTTTAGACCTAATTAAGCGTTTTTAATGTCCTCGTTGTGTATTTGTAATATGAAAAAATATAATTAACCGTAAATAGAATTAATTAAATTCCCCGTTACACTTTACAAATTTACAGTATACGCTTTCCTATATTGATTGTGAAGAACCTCGACATATATTGTTCCTTTGAAACAAAATTCCAATGGTTGTCCAATATCTCTTTTCATGGAACAAATTCGATATCACACTTCACATATTAATGTGACTATATTTTGCAATTGACTTGAATGACATACAATTATAAAGAAATATATGATGTCGTGTGTAATTATTACAAATAAATGACTTCGAGGTAATAGTTAAATACAAGTTCTATTGACTGCCTATCCTATTTTACAGGTATTATTTATATGTACCATATTACCAGTGTTAACCTTAACGTATTTATACATAACAATTACATACTGGTCATTAATGTACCATCCCACTGTATGGACGTTACTCACCATTCCTGTGTCTGTAGAGGAGTGGAAACTATTTATGTGGACACTAACCGTCACAATCACAGGTGGTCCTACAGCAAGAACAAAAATAGAATTATGTTGTTGTTGTTGTTGTGTGCGCATACACAAAAACATTTATCCTGCGCCCGGATCATCAACAGTACTCAATTTAAATTTACCTTTCACATGCTTGTACTTGTGCACAGATAACAATAGATTTATTTTGTTTCTTGTTGATGAAATGTTAGGTACATGTTGAGATAAAGTTTACTTGATATAATGGTGTGATGTGAGAGAAATGTATATATATATAATTTACATTAATTTTTTTTGCACTGTTCTTTTACAATGCCTAGGAATTTTTCATATTTACGGACATTTGATTATCACTTTCAGCTACAGAACTATTTATACCATATATTGTAAGGAAAGTATACTATTTGAATTTATCCAAGGATTCAACTGTTCGTTCATGACTTGTCATAAATGTATGCAAAATAATTCCTGGTCAGCTAATGTCTATGATATGGCTAGAAGACTCTATTATGTTAGCCAAATGACAATATCAGAAAATAAAACATCTTTCAGATGCCACCTTGTATGTTATTTCTGCTTTATGAGATTGGCAAATAATTATGCAATTTACATAAATATTAAGTTTTCTGTCAAGTATGTTGTATACACACAGAGAGTCAACTGTAACGTTAGCCGTGTTTCTAAAACCCGTCAATATATTGAAATGGATATGGGTATCTGCAGTATATATGTATACATGCATTATAATTATATTCATGCAAATGGCCACCAACATCTGGTTGAAAAGGTTAAGTCTATGAGATTTGTTTATCTCATATGATATGGTCTCTTTCTGTCGTCGCTTTCACTGTTTCGAGTACCATTAATAGGCATGTCAGAGCAACAGTGAACGCAACGACGAGAGGAAAATAAGTATTGTGGCCCTCTCGGTTCGAACGAGATCCTGGTGCTTATTACGTCGAAGTTCAATTCGCTATTCCAACTGACGGGTTGTGGACTCTAGTTTCTGTTGTTAATGTATATGGTAATTACATCATCAAATGAGGTTGTTACTTTTTTTGCAGCTGTACGTCCACATGAGTTAGTAAAAACTGTTTTTAAGGTTAAGCGCTTTTATACGTCAGATAGTGTCCTAGTTTTCCATGACATAAACATCGTCGTGATTGTATCCTCATGACAAATATCAACTATTGTATAAGCTGATAAAACGGGAAATAGAAATAGCAATCGAATTATCAGTTATCATTACGAAATGAACAAATCTAACACAGTTACGTTCACTGTAACACACGTTTCAGGTATATGAAAACACTTTAAATGGCAGTCTTTTAAAAAATCTTTGTTTATTAATATTCTCTAAGCACGGAGAAATTACAATTTCATCACAAAATAGTTTTCTCGATTTTTATGTTTACAAAAAGTCATTCTACTGAAAATTCACTTTTGTTTTTGGGAGATGTGATCTGAATTGCAAGCCATGATTTGTGCTCCGGGCTCATTTCTATGAGTTGTTCAGTTGGTAATCCCCGCTACAAATTACTGAATTCACGGTTTAGCAAAGATTAATGATAACCAATTTTTTACAGATAGTGTCATATTTCATATGATAATGCGCTTCCAATAAGTACACGTTAATAAAACTCATTCCACTCCTTACCATGCATGTTTGGTCTGTACTTCTTGTCATAGTTTCCTGTTAATACTTCATCAATTCCCCTCTTTGATGGTGTACTCGTTACCGGCGTCGACATCGTTATTGGCTCCGTCACTGTCATCGTCACATCGGCCGCTTGAACACTGTTGCATTGAAAAACATGAACATATATACATTGCAATGGCATGATGAATAACAAATGGTAAGTTAGAGTATCTTGTGGACTCATCTCGCACAGGATCGCCAAGCGTGATGTGGTGCGCATAGACATGTACATCACTGATTTCCATCTAAACAGTGTGAACAACACGTTGCATTATTTTACCATTTCCTTAGCGTCTGATGAACAAATACTTTATATAATTTTGTCTATAGGTGTCGTGAAATATGAAGAATATGTTACCTGAAAATTAGGATGAATATTAGCAGATAATACATGGCTGTCATACTGTATGATATATCAAGACACACTAGCTCGTCTTTATGATTCTTTGATGCTGTAAGACACGGTGCGATTGACTGTTAGATCATCGATCATATATAAAGCGTAGGTGAACAGTGATGCGATGCATGAGTGATTTATCGACACGTGATCGACGTATGAATACTAATGATGAAATGACGACAGGGTTGATCGAGGAGGGTTCATTGGGGTCATCAAACGGGTAAAATCAAATATGGATCCGCTTCCGTCCTGAAGGGAAAAGCACTGTCCACTGTATGAGTGATAATAGAGCAAAAACGAGAATGTGTGTACACAGTGGGCGAGACAACTACTGTGTTAAGCTATATCAAGCACTATTACACAATGTTGAGCACCTTGGATGAAACCACTCATTACAATTATTAGCAATTATTAATAGCTTGGACATTAAAATAACATCGGCGTGCAATTGCGGAATTACTTTTTTGATGTCTATCCTTGAATTCACTATTACATAAATCATAGTCTCGTTAAATTAAAAATACCATCAGCACATTCTAGGTTGACGGTACCTAAGTGTGTATAATAACTGGGTGGCTTAAGCTTGTTTGGCGAAAACAATAAAATATTCCTAGTGAATCAATTTAATTTTGTTAATTTCGATAATGATGTTACTAACTCTGGTAATGTTGCATACATAGCTCTGTTATCTCTGCATTTGGAGTTTCTTCCACCGATAATATACACCGAGGGATCAAAAAATAACACCGGCAGCAATAAACGATAGCGAAGTGATCAATTACCAATCGCAATCGACTTCACGGCGTCAATTAGCTAATGGTTCGAAAATATGTACTATATCAACATTGCTGCTAACAATGAACTACACGAATAAATCTAGCGTCACCGCTCGATGAAGCAATAATCGTTGTTCCAGAGTCTATTTCTTAACCTAAGTTACAAATAGAATATTTCATCATACGCTGCATCACATTTGAACATGGTTTTAGTGCTCTAAAGTTATTTCCATATTTCAGAAAGATCTTTATGAAGTTATAGTATAATAGGAATAACCAACCAAGCGCGGGGTGTACCATTTGATTTCGACCAGTTCAACCATAAACATTCGAGCGACAGTCATGAAACTGGTACAAATATCGTGGCGGACTCGCCTACATGTGTTGGTTAATCTTTAATACATTTGATATTATATACATATCACAATTTTTAAATTTACATCAGTATGGATAATGCTTTTAGTATGCCTTTCAGTGGGTCAGCAAAATGAAATGATAAAGTTGGTCCCGGGGTGCTTACTCATTGGGTGTGTAAAACATAAAAAAGTTATATAACGTTTAAAACGTATTTAGCGGTGTATCATATATTAAATATATAATGCGTCATGGTAAAATACTATATTAAAAATATCTTTAAAATGTTATAGATACACGACTAGCTAGGATTGTGGCTGAAGCCATCATAGCGGACATTATGATGTACACAGACAGATGGAATCACGTAGTCAAAGATTATTATGTCGTAACCTGTATCCCGTGTATAAATAGTATCATTGCTTGGCCTTTCTGGCGGCATAATTATTTTCGATATTTTGAGCTTAATGTATACCAGCGTCTTTCATCAAAATATTACAGGCAACTGCTGAAAATAGCCAACGATGTGTGCAACTGAAAGCTGTTATTGATACTTATAAATACGTATATAGCTGTACCATATGTGATACTCACATCTAGGTATACGTTACGTGTGGGTGTCCGACAACTTGATCACACTACTAAACATTGTATGCTGTTCTGAGATAAACAGATTCAATGTAGACAAAATACCATTTGAAGACAAATTGATATGGTTTGTGTGTTTTATTGATCTCAATCATTCTTATTCATGACATGTTAATGTTAGGTTTGCTCACGTGAGTTATTTTGTTTGTAATTAGATTAATTAGATTCTACTGAAACTGATCGAAAAAAACGGATAAAAGCATCTGTGTTTTTTCTTAAATTAAAAATAGCAGTTCATTATAATTTATACATGCTACATACTCTTTATTTCATATTGATGTACACCTTATTTAGTTTGGACTTTATAACTGTTCATATAGCAACATGTAAATTAAAAGGTAAAACACTGCAATGGAACTATGGCACAGATATCAGACGTAAACATAATTTTCACCTGTACAAAATGCATTGAACATAAACTCGCCACCAATGAAGCTGTACGCCATTCTACAGGGTTCAGTAATTTATTTTTGTCTGTGTAAGAAGAGTTATTAAAATAAATACAGACGCATTCCATAAATAATCCGACTATATTCATGGCAGACCAATTTGTTATGAGACAACACACGATAATCTTTATGTGGTTGGTCGGCTGGCTAGTCAGTCAAATCATCGTCCGAGTACTTACTTCTGTTATTATTTAAATCGCCGCTTATAACAATACCGCCGAAAATTGACACCTGCAAGACTTATGAAGTAAATATTAATTGTGTTATACTTATCAGTGAACCAATTGTCACCAGGTTGGTTCAAATACCACATGTTTGTATATATATGTATATACATATGTGTGAAGTAACACAATAGACGCCGATTATGCGGGATATATTATATATCTGTTTTCAGTTGATGACCTGTCACATTACGCAGTTATTACATAACAACCGTTATATCAGGAAGCAATCAGGAAGACGGAGGCACAAGAAACAGCTAATGCTTTACGCTGCAAATCGTAGCCGATATGCTTTTTCATAATCATGAACATTTAATAAACTAATTCATTCCTAGTAGATAAGTGCAGATAAATTGTGTTTCGCTTATAGATTGGCTCATTGATTCACACTAAAATGTAAGTAATCTAAGTAAGCAGTGAACTGTTTAGCATGCCCTCATGCAGAACTGTATCGGTCTTTACTTCAAAAGCTTACTACCCCCAGAATTGGGTTGGGGTCTAGCTTTCTCGAGCACACCGAACCCTGTCACCGTAGCAGCATTTTGGCTTCTTGCTCCGGGGACAGCACAGGCAAGGTAAGACACCACCCTTTTTGGGTCTTAACTAAGGTGTTGAGTGATTATTGTAATGTGTTTCATCCCGGACTGGGAAAATACTTTCATCATTTTTCTGTTTGCTCGAAAAACTTGACTCTGCCTACAGTTCAAAATAGTCATTTTGACTGACCGGAGTCTATGGTGGGTAATTGAACGTACTGAATATAGGCAGAGGGCTCTCCGAACCCGCCTATTCACATAGTTCATACCCACCATAGACTCCGGGTCCCCTCAACCACCCCACTCTTTCCATAGCGTTGGTCTAAGTCCTCGAGGCGAAGAGAAAGGAACCAGAGTGATTAGCCAACCGTAATGGCGCCGCCATATGGCCTCGGTCACTGGTTCGTGATGTAAGGGAAAAGAATCTTGGGGTCATTGGCAGAACCCCTAGCACTAGTGAGTTAGCAATCGTACAGATCTCATGCGCTCGTACTTGGTTTCTCTGCAAGCTCTGTGTCGAGGTAGTTAAATTTGCTGTGTTGGTGGAATCCCTGTTCGCCCTGGCCAGGACGTTGGCAGCCCACTCATGAGAGCTATCGCATGTGCCGGTCTACTGAGAGCCTCTATGTGTGTAAGTGATACCCGCTGGGCTCGTTGGTAGTGCGCCGTCTGGTTGGGACGGCAGGTCCGGTAAGTCCGGAAGCATTACTGGTGTTTCGACTAGCATTTCCGACAGAAGTGAAAACTAGGCCATGCTTAGCCAATTGGGTGCGACCAATTATAATATGCAGGTGTGCACCTGTCAAAGTTTTCTCGGGTGCCCGGTGAACTAGCGGGAAGGGAGGAAAGGCGTACACAACTAAGTGGATACACAGGGTTAGCGAAGGGACCCTGGCCCAGGCTCCTGGAGTCGGCAGGAGTGTTATGAACGTCGGGAGCTTGGTGTTCCGGGTGCGGCATACCGGACTAGGACTAACAACGATGGGGAGCGAGTCCCCCTCCTTCTTGAAGGAGACCACCGCTGCGTTGCCTGTGCGGAGCAGGACTCAAACTACGGGTAGAAAGCATGGTAGTGCTAAATACACTGCTTTCAGTTCGAGTCGGTAGTCCCGAAACTAATGCGGGTCCATATCCTTGGGCTTGTTCGTCGAGTAGATGCGATCCCCAACCTTGGGGGAGGCATCTGTTACCAGAGTCATAATTCATAATCATGAATTCATAAATTAAATGTAAATGTTAAAATTAAAATGCATTTAGAAGACAATTTTAAAACAAACTGCAACCGAGGTTAATAATTGTCACATCTAGGAGAACAATTCTCCATTGAACTCCGAGTTTACAGTTATTACTTGTATTCTCATTGCCTGTCAAATTCATGTTTGATTTGAAAGTGTCTGGTTCCAGCGTGCAAGCAATTTGGCTCTGTCTCTCTTTATGTGCAGACATCATTAAAATCAGATGTCGTTGTGATTCGCATAGGGGTACATTGTGGGTTACTCCATTCCATGTGATAGCTATTCCCAATGTGTTTATTGTCAAAAAGTTTGTTTAGGTATTCAAATTGCGTGCTTCATGTTGGTAACCATGATGTTACCACAAATCAAGCGCGGGCGCGACCCAGTCAGCTCTTTGCTGCCGCACATTAAAATTTCGTTGTGATTTTCT